GTCTTCTGCTGAGCACAGAAGTGAAACAATTAACATCTGAGACTGCTGGTGTGAAGTAGCAAAACACCTTATTGCATCATGCAGATGAGGTACTACAGCACACTGTACAGCAGCAGTACTGGTATAGGGCAAGAGCTGAAAAAAGGTCCATGCAATTCATACTTTTTGTTTATATTAGTGCTATTATACCCTATGTATTGCGGAAATCTTTTCCACTGCTGTTGTCCCATGCACAGAATGAATTAAAGGATATGTTTGCTCCAAGGCGGTGGTCACTTTTCAAGAGGTTCCAGTACTGAGGTGGGAAGGAGTCATTGCTGGAGATGCTTTACCCAGCTTGAGCTGCCTCCCAGAGGGATGGATAGGGTGTTTTGTCTTTCAGGGGGAGAAGAAAGGTAAAAAAATGTCCTACAATACTGTACCGTAGGTGATAAACTAATAATTTCTGAAAACCAGGCAAAAATTCAGGAAATAGCAAAATCCAAAGTTCTGGTTGTCTGAGACTACCTTCCAGCACTGATGCTTGGCAGAGTCATGACTGACTCTTTTCAGTAGCACAGGAAACAGCAATGCAAAGAAAAGAAAAATCACATCACCACCCAGGCTGCTTCTGAGACACTCACAAAGTACTCATAAAAGGTAAAAAGCCCAACATCTTTTCCTCTTAGCCTCCTCAGATTCTGGTCATTTAGGTTTTCTGTGATCAGGCACTACCATATGGATGACTTCTGAATTTTTTTAATGATGGTAATAAAGGCTTCCATTCATCTCTCATCACACTAAATATTGCATTGATGTTCACACCTTTGCTCTTGCTCTTTTTTTTTCATCTGCCATGGGAATGAGGAATAGGAACAGAGTGTTTTCCATCCCTATTAATGTCTCTTCAGCCCTCTGCATAGTTTAGGATTACCGTAACTGGACAGTGTTAGGATTTGCCTCCCAGCCACTGCATTCAACCCTTTACAGCCTTTCATTTAAAGTACACCAGAACCATCAGCTCAAGTCTGCCCAGAATCTCAATATAACTGACATTTTAGAAAACTGACACTTTCCTTTTGTCACTTATAAAGGCTTTCTTTTTTGTTATTTCTCAAAGTAGAGAAGCCATCACTAACATACTACAATATCCTTATCTGTAGATTACTTAAAGGAATAAGAAACCAGTGAAAACAAGTACCACTGAAGGTCATCTGAGAAGCACTGCCAGTAAGCTAGCCCAGAATTACCTTGATGCATTTTCTACTCTGGGTCAGTCAGGTGATGGAAAATAAATGTATATTCCAAAGGGAAAAATGCAGAATTAATACCCTTTTAAAGAGCAGTTTGTCTGGGTTTTCAAATGTGTTTTACTGGATGATTCTCAAAGCAGATTATGCATATCTTCTCAAAAGTCTAACTTCCAGCTGTAGGCAAGTTTGATTATTTTGGAGGGCTCTCAACACAGACAGGGAGATAAGGTCCGAAAGAGCTGATCTGGTTCAAAACAAGACAACTTCTTATATGTTAAAATAGATTGGTGAAGTGTTAGGTAAGTGGAAATTGTGAATTAGTTTTTGCAGCTCAAGATAGGATATACAACTGATCACAACAGTAAGTAAAAACTTGAGACAAAGAGGCTGTTCACAGTCCAAGACTTCAGCACTGTATGTACAAAAAAAAGGAAATGAACAACAAGAACAGAATTTGTGTTTTGTAATGGTCAGGACAAAATGTCAGGACCCTGAGTCCTGAAAAAAAAACAATTAAACAAATAGTACAATTCCCTCCATCTGATACTTCAGTGTCAACAAGTCAGCTGTTTCTCAGGGCTAAAAAACATATCCTATAACATATTTTACAATCACATACTGTATTACGTATCAAAAGTATTTTTCAGAGCCTGTCTGGGTTTTCCATTCCAAACAGCATGCAGAACAGGTTTTCCAATCTGATTGGTTTGTGGTCTGTCCCTAGTGAGTACTGAATTATTTCAGCTGAGATTTAGGCAGTGAACCTAAAAAAATTAACTGATTTTGGTTCAGGTTTATAATTTCTCTTTGAACTAGAGCTTTTTTTTTTGAAAGATGACTGATGTTCAATTAAAGATACAGAATTTACTATATCACTAGTATCAAAAAGGTGAGGTCTCTGTAGTCACCTAGTGGAGTGCAAAGGAAGTTGTTGAAACCACAACATCGTCTCCCTTGCAGTAGCAATAAAACCCTGTGAAGGTTCTTGCTATCCTTATAATCTAAGTGTTTACATTATGTCAACTAATATTATCTTTCATTATCCAAACTTGGCACGTGCTTTAAAGAAAATTGAAAATATATCACAGCAATGTACTTTTATACAAACAAAATTCAGGGCTGATACTCTGATCTTTGTGTAATGGTGTTTCAGACTGGGAAAGATCCTAACTTCATAAGAAAGAAAAAAATGGATTGCTTCCATACCACGTCGTTATATGTTTTTACATTTGAATGCATGTAACTGACTGTATTCAGAAGAACAACCATATCACCCAAAGGAGACAGAAATACAAGCACAGATCATAGGTTCACAAAACCATAGAATCACTCAGGTTGGAAGGGACCTCTGGAGGTCACTGGTCCAACCTCCTACTCACTGCAAGTCCAAGTCCAAGATCAGACCAGGTTGCTTGGTGTTTGATGCAGCCAGGTACTGAGCTCCATGCTCTGGGCTGGTTGTCTGGGCCCTGCTCCAGTGCCTGGGTGTCCCCATGGGGAAGAAGTTTCTCATACTTAGGCTGAGCCTCTTTTGTTTCAATATGGGTCTGTTGTCTCATCCTCCTGCCGTGTACTGGTGGGAATAGCCTAGCTCCAACTTCTTCATAGCCTTTGGGGAACTGACGTTAGGTGTCCTCCCTTCTCCAGCCTGAATAAGCCTCTCAGCCTCTCCTCAAAAGAATTCAGCTGCTTGTAGCATCTTTCTACACAACCTCTGCTGAGGTGTAAAGGACAATACAAAATGTAAACGGGCGTAGAATTGAGATTGGTATTTCAGAAACTATTCTGTGAAGTACGAATAAACTGCATACAATGTGAAGAGGCACAACCAGTAAGCTGTGCATGGACTTCAGCAACAGGTGCAGCTCTGGGTCCTTTTGTACTCCTTCAGCAACACAGTAATTTCATTTTCATGATTCAGTGATGTTCAGCTGCGCTGATTCAATAGCATTTCTATTAAAAGCCAGGTAATTTAATTTACTCATGGATAAAACTAACTAATTTTCAGATATAAATGAAAGGGACGAAACAAAATCTACACCCTTTGTGGCCTGACTGCCACTGGTGTTCCTGTGAAGTGGTCTGAGGACCCCCTACAAGCAAGTGGAAGCAAGTGTGTACATATATACCTGATAATCTGCAGCTGGCAGTTTTTGTCAGGGTTGCTTTGTGTTTTTTTTTTCTTTGGCAATGTATTTTAATTCTCTGTGAGGGTGGTGAGGTGCTGGCACAGGTTGCCCAGAGAAGCTGTGGATGCCCCATCCCTGGCAGTGTTCAAGGCCAGGATGGATGGGGCTTGGAGCAACCTGGTCTAGTGGAAGGTGTCCCTGCCCATGGCAGAGAGGGTTGGAACTGGATGATTTGTAAGGTCCCTTCCAACCCAAACCATCCTATGAGTCTGTGATATATCCAAACAGTTTACAGTGGGAATGTGCTGTGGAAGGAGTCCTTGCAGTCTCACTCACCCTCTCACCCTAAGGAAGTTATAATTTTTTGGTGTTAGTGTAAATTGCACTTTGCTTTTCAGCAGCATTGGGTACCGCAGTGCCAAGAGGACTGGTTCAAAGCCTGCTGCAGTTAAACAGAAATATTTCCACTGACCACAAATGTATTCATAACAGTCCTGTCACAGACGAGACAACTTCACCAGCAAGCAGCCACAGCACTGATTCTTCGGAGTAAAACGAATTTATGGTTTTATTTTGCTGCCCTCCTTCCTGCATGCCTCCTGTTCTCCCTTAGCACCCCCTGGGAGCCCCGAAGGCAGCGGGGCTCTCCCCGAGCGCTGGTGCGGGTGAGCCATACGAATCGATGTACCTGTACCCGAATTTACACAGACCGGCCCCCTCAGCAGCCGTGAGCGGGGCGGCAGTCGCGACAGAACCGTGGACGCCCCACGATCCACCGTCGCCGCGGAGTTACAGGCGCGCAAACACCTTCCAGCAGCTTTCCACCTCAGCGGGCCACGACCGCCACCTGTTGGCTCTACTTGGCAGCGCCCCACCTCAGCCCTCCCCGCCTCACCGCGCCGCCCGCCACCGCCCCCGTCCTTCCCACTCCCCGCCGCCGTCTCCTCTTGGCACCCGGCGTTGTCCCGTAGCGCTGTGGGTCCATGGGTGGTCTTAACCAGGCGCCAGCTGCCGGCACCAGCAGCAGCGGGTAGTGGCGGTGGTTCCCGCATGGTGCTGGCAGCCCGCGGGGCGGGAGGGAACGACCCGCTGCCGGCTGTCTGGGTGGGGCGGACGGCTCAGACAAGGCAGCCAGGCCGCCACCAAAGACAGCATTAGTTCTGTTAATTGCCCTGCTAATTGCGAATTAGGCGAGGGGTTTAGGAGTGCCGGCAACATGCCAGCGAAGCAAAGATGGAATATGAGTTTAAGGGCTCTCAGCTGTTAGGGAATCATGAGGCAGGGGTACACCTAAGAGCAGGTGCTCATACAGCTAATGAAAGTGGCATATTTTTCACCATATAAAGTCAGGCCTGTCTTCAGAAAGCTGCACAGTAAATTAAACAGATTTGCTTCTTACAATATCTTAAACAAAAATAAGTCAGTAACTACTGCTTGAGGCATTACCTACTATTCATCTAATAGCTGTGCGCCACGGGACAGGTTTCCGTAGGCCCCATTATTTCATTTTGTGGATGGGAAGTTGCATTTTGCAGGGAATCACATCCTTTTGAAGTTGCAAGATGTTGCCCAGTAATTAACACCATATTCCATATATATATATACGTGTATATGTATTTCCATATCGTGAGGCTGGTGGAAATCACTGAGGATGATTCAGCTGAGCACAGGGAAAAACTACAGTAATCTGCCTTACCATATCAGAAATAAGGTGGGTTTTTTTCCAGTTGAGGGAAACACATGTATTATTGGTGCATACTCACGTAGACTGGGCACTGGTTTTCTGCCATGGACCCAGTGCAGGCAGTCCTTACTTAAAATTGCCCCAAAGCTACTTCTGTTTCACAGTTACCTCCAGGCTGCATCCTTTCTATTTTCCTGGGCAACTGTGGAAATGAAGAAATGCTTCATGGGAATGTTTCCTCTGTGAAAAAACAAACACTCCAGTATGAGAAGAATCATAGAATCGTAGGATAGTTAGGGTTGGAAAGGACCCTATTGGAGAGGGTACTGACGTAAAATCTGCATAAGCCGTATGTGACATGTAGGTTCCCAAAAGCTAAAGACAGGCTTAAGGTCACTGTCTGGGTCCCACTAATACCGTGCCAGATGTGGGTGCTTGGCTCCAGGTGTGTGGGCAGGCTCTGTGGCCCATTAGCTGCTCAGCACTTTGAATTTACAATGGCTTTAAACCCCAGAGGACTCAGGCTTGCCAAAGCTGGAGACTAGACATGCTTATTGTGAAAGAAAAAAATGCTGTTCTTCGTACTCTGCCCTACTTCTCAGATATGGTCCAGCCACACTTGATGGAGAGTTTGGATAGCGGTGTTTTGGTTTGAGCTGGAAACACTGCTGCAAATGTAATTTGCTGTTTCAAAAAAGCTGTTTCAGAAGCCTCAGGACTCAGTGTACTCTCCCACACCTTGCTACCAGTGAGTTTTCCTGGCCAACATATGCAAGAGGAGGATGAAATCTGTCACATGGGCTTTGTGCCAGTTGTGGTCTTGCACCATTCTCTCCAGGCTGCATTCCTGTTGTATGTTGTGAGGATTTTGTTTTGTTTTTAAATACGGCTTTTCTGATTGAAATCAGTTTCAATGCAAAAGAAATGCCTGCTCCTGCAGCTGTCAACAAAACCTGCATGTTAAAAGCCTGTGTTGCTGCTCTGGAATATATGATTCCATGGAGGGTAAAGAGGATTTTCAGGTTTAAAGTCCTGTTATGCAAATCAGTTGTCTTCTGTTCTGCCTTTGCATTAACACAGCCTGTCATGGTTCTTCTGCCATGCTTCATCTTCTATTTTCAAATCTACATTTTTTTCAGACAATTTGATTTCAAAATTATGTTTACATTCTTAACATCTCTTAATGAGCTTATTTCATTGGTGGCATAAACCTAATTGTGAGTCACACCAGGGGCACTTTTGCTATGAATATTTCCTCCAATTTAACCTGATCAAAGATTGTTGGGCCATGCAAAAACCACAGCTTCAGACATTGCACTCATGCAGCTTAAGAATGAGTTAAATACTTTAAATAGAAACAGTCTGCTAAAGCTGAATTAAATTTTTGATAGAGACTAGAGGTTGAGTTCAGACTACCTTTAAAAACTAAGAGCAGTCCTTAATGGATACATTTGGGATGTATTGTACCCTGTTTTCCTTTGAAGGGCATGTCCGAAGGTGCAAGTTCCAGCAGCTGTTTCCTTGAAGCTAGGCACCCTGAATAATAATGATAAATAGTGGATTGGTATTGTCAATATTAAAGAGTGATTGATTTATTTATTTATTTACTGGACTCTCAATTCCAGGGCTTTCATGTATTTTATGACTGCGTTTTATGCCTGTTTTCACTGTTTTATCTTCACATTGACCACATTTGCTCAGATGTAAAATGTCCTTCAATTACCAAAAGTTCTACCCCGACAATGTGTGCTGCAGAACAGGTTGTCACTGACAACACTGTTATATGTCTTCTGCTTTGCCCCTTTCTCCAGTGAGCTGTCAGGCCTGCACGCGAGGGTAGAATGCAGGCTAGGGAGCCACAAACTCAAGTCCTAACCTAATTTCTGCTTGTTGTAGCCCAGATTTTAAAATCTGACTCCTGTATTTGCATTCTTTATTTGCAGGGGTGGTAAGCTTAGCGCTCAGCTGCCCAAGGCGTTAGCCCTCAGGTCTTCTCTTTTCAGATAATGTGCAGCAGTAAAAGAGGTGTGGTACTGCAAACTGCCTGAGGTGGTAGTATCACTTCAGATGTCTTCTGATCAGACCTGATATGCCATGAGTTAATTGCTAGGAGTTATTCAGGAATTTAGATGTTAACATTCTCTGTCCCGAGTTTAAATCATTAGCAAACCACCAAGCTTAGAGCTACTCCTTAATAGACCACTGCCAGTCTAGCCCAGCATCACTTCCTGCATTTGCTAAGAAACGTTTAGCATCCCATTTACAGGCTAAAAGATTATTTATTTTAATCCTTGTGCTGCATTTCCAAGAAAAAAGTAGTTTTTAATCTTGGATATGAATATACAGAACCCTCATGCACTGAGCAAGCTCAGTGATAATGCCCTGAGCAAACCAACAAGTCCTCCTAATCCTAAACAACCTCGCCTGAAACCTCCACACATGCTCTTGGGCCAGGGCTCCATTTAAGCACAGGCTTAAGCATGTTCTCTTTATATCAGGTCCTTGTCACTAGCAGTCCTCTTGGAGTTGGTTTGTTAGCTAGTCTTTGTTTGGTGATTGCTGGGCTGCTACTTGATCTGCTTCTGTCATTTACAGCTGCTTGCCTGTCTGTGATGCTGTAGTATTGTATGTTGCTGATGAGGTCAGTGTTAGCTCATGTGGTTGGTTGTGTTGCTCCTTCTAGTAGAGAGAAACCCTGGTCTTGCTGTTCCCTGATCCTCAGAGAGGAAGCTCCATGGGAGCACTATCTTTCTGGTTGTGCTTGTGAGGGAGTTAAGTGTCCTGCTATGTCTTGCACCTACTGAATGGTTGGCAAGAGGGGATGCCTGTCTCACTTGGTGCTGCAGAGGTGTGCTGGAAAGGATGGAGTTACAATCTCTTTCTCACCCTCTGACTGTTTACAGTTTAGCTGTAAATACCACTTTTACTTAGTTACCCCTGCTAGTCTCTGTATGACACATAAGACTGTCAACAATCTATGTGTTCCAACTAGGGGGATGGTGTAAGTAACTTTGCTATTTGTCTGCAAAACTCAGAAGTCTTTTTATTCTGCCAATTTTATGTGTCTCAGACTTGCACAGAGTTGCTTTTGGCTTCAAGAGAGGTAGTGAGAAGAGTGATTAATCTTTAATCTTATGCTTGAGAGTTGCATTTAATTTTTGGCAAATATTTATTCATGGAGTCTCTAATTTATAGACAGACAAAAGCCTATAGCTAGAGGAGACCAAACAGAGGAAACGTCAAGCAAAAGCACAGCCTTTTTATACCCAATTAAAAAAGAAATATTATCCTTATGAAAACTCTCAAGGAAGTGGAGACTGAGTGGGCAAAATCAGATCAAAGAGACTCAACAAAATCTTATTTTATATGGAACATGTTATTAATCAATTAAAAGATACGTGTTGTGTGAGGGAGCATCACAGTGCTAGCAGCAGAAATACTGAGAGGTTCAACTTGTTGGTCTTACTTAGCATCTTCCTAGCTTATCCTGCTGTTTTCTCAGGAATCATTCTCCAAGTAAGGCATAGCTGAATTTAATGTAAGTGCACTGGTAAGATCTCAGTAGACAAAACCAATCACTTAAGGATAGGTGCTGGTACTATTTTGTGTTTTGTACTGTTGTTCTTGTTTGAAGCAGTGTAAATCTGTATTAATGCCACATAAGTAAGTGGAACTAATCTGGTCTTAATTGTATTTTGATTTCTACTGTAAGGAGCCCATAGTAAGTTACTGATTTCAGAGGTAAATGTCTGTTTCCTTACTGGATTATGGCACACTAACAAAACTACTACAACTGGAAGCAAAGTTTAGCAGCAAAACATGACCCAGGAAGAAAAACGTGAAGTTCTCATACACTGATATTGGTATGGAAATACTTCAGAGTTTACTGTCTCTGTAACTGAAATGTTTTGTCACTAACTTGCCAAGTGAAAAATGAAATCTGTTTCAGCATTGACAAGAGAATAATGTATGACCCTAAGAAAGGCTGTACTAATATAGGAAAAGAAAATCACTACTAGACCAAACAGACATTTGTTCCACCAGCAGAAATGCAATAATTTCTTCAGGATGCCATCCAATCTGCATGGGGGGACTTCCTGAGACAGTGGTTATAGATACAACTTTATATTTTTAAAGCATCAGCAAACCAATAGCACCTTAATTGCATGCTCTTTCATGAAATCCTTTAACTGCTTTTAAAAATCCACTTTGGCTTCCCAAACTTCCAAATATGGCACAATTTATGTTGGTGGAAGCACTACCCTGAGTCTTTTTTTTTTTTTCCCTTTAAATCTACTTTGGTTTGATGCCTTTTTGTCATAGTAATATAGACCAAATAATGAATGACTTCCCATCCCTCCTGTTCTTCATCTTCTATTTTCACTTTTCTTTTCACCTCTTTAGGATGTAGTAATGAAACTGAATTCTGTACTTAAACTGTAGACTAATCATAAACTCATATACAGCAACAAGGAGTCGATGTACTGAAACGGTGGTGATTTCTGTTTGTCCTCTAGTCCTTGCCTAATAATTTCATGCATTTGATTCACTTGTTTAGTTCATGCTTGCTACTAAATTGGCATATTCAAAGAGCTAATCACAATGATTCCAAGCTCTTTTTCCTGATTATAGTTAATTTAGGTAGTCATACTGTATGTATAAGGCTTTGTTTGTGTCTGACTCTGCATTATAAGACCCTGTTCTGACAGAAAAAAAAAAAAAAAATGGAAATTCAGCATCATGAGATTTTTGCAATACTTCAAGATCAGCTTTTGGTTGAGTACACAAAATGATTGTTATCTCCCTATTCATTTACTCATTAATGTCTTAATATAATGTCTATTACATATACATATGGGATTCTGCTGATAAACTCTTTCTTGAGAAAGCTAGCTGGTCTTTCACCTCTCTGATTTATGCCTTATTTATCTATACCAGGTCTATCCTCTTGCTATGTGACAGATAGCTTTTTTTCCTTCTAATAGCATTTGCTGAGTGACCTAGCCAAAAACCTCTGAAAATCACCCCTCTATCTACCTGTTCCTGATTCAGAGAATGCTAATAGATTTCTGTGGCATAATTTCTCTGTACAAATCTCTCCTGAGCCGTTATTCAGTTTATAATCTGTACTTAATTTCTGTTCTGTACTGTAGCTTTTAATAAGTTCCCTGGTTTCAAAATACAATTTAGCAGTTTGCCTTTTCTTGCAACCTCCTTAGAGTGCTTTCTTGCAAACCTGG